CTATGAAATGTCAATAATAGTGTTTCCCATAAATAATATTGCATTTTTTGTCACTGTCAAGCAAAGGGTCCATTGAAAATATATATATGTTTTAATTAAACATAACATTTGGTCTCCCCACCCCACCCTAATCATTTTCGTACAGTCCCTTAACACTCCATTGGTCCAGGTGAGGGCAGCTGAAGTTGGTCTAAAACCTGGATTTACTATACAATTCCCAATATTTAGCGTCCCTCCCTATTTAATAACAAACTTTATGGATGCCACATTGGAATAAAAGAGCTGTGCAATGTTACAACACACATTAAAAATGAGATCTTATATAGCATGTAACCTGAAACCTCTTATGATCACTTCACAGTGATAATAATAGAGTAATAAAGTGTCTTGCAGACGTGCATGGAGACCTCCAAAGCATCAAACTGGCTTGTAAAGATAAAATCCATCAAATGCAGTTACGTTTTTCAACCATAAGCCACCAACCTGCAGTAGAACTGAGATCCATCTTTGGCGAGGAACCCATCATAGTGGACGTTCAACAGATCTCCTCTTTTGCTCTTTGGGCTGCACTCCTCGGGTCTGAACAGAACTTCAATCTTCACCTCGCCGTCCAGCTCGTCTGCTGCCGCCCAGACCGACCATAAACTGAGCTGAGAGGAGACGAAGAGGCACAGCGTGCAGCTCACTAAGCTCCACATCATGCCGCTGTGTATTCGTGGCAACTTGTGAACTCAGCGGAGGACGTGGAGAACTGCCTGCTGCTGATTTATGGAGGAGGGTTTGCTGCCCTGAGCTTGGACTGTCAGGGATTTCTGCTCCCTGATGCGTTCAAATACCCCCTCCTGAACTATGAGTGGCTCCAGCCCTGGCTCTGGTCCTCTTAACCCTCTCTCATTGGACTGGAGAAGGTTGCTGGAGGTGATAGGCAGCCTGAGAGGTAAACGCTGCCTGACAGACTAAACTTAGGGCTAAAATACTCCTGTTACTTTAATTTCATTCCAGTGGTGGAATGTAACTAAG